TTTGACAGGAGACATTTTGCTGACACAGAATATTTTGTTCACTTCTGACTCTCAAATAAGTGCTACTTCTGTCATAATGATTGATTTATATTCGTTTTAGACCATACATTTTACATCCTCTCTTTTAGTGCTTATGGCTACACAGCTTCAGAATAGCACAGTTTTAAAGCTGTTACGAGCATGGCATCACATTTCACATTCCACTAATAAAAAGAAATTGGTTGTAATGGGTTGTAGGTATTTTGTGGTACGGTATATTTAGAATGAGACGCTAATTTTTATTATCTCCTGGAAAAATAAAAGTTTAAAAAGAAGACTTCTGTTAAGAAATTGGTACAGAGTTGTAATTTAAATCATTTCTAATAGCAGAGCCTTGAAAGGCCCAGTGACCCGCGGAATGCTGTTCCCGTGGCTCTTATTGTAGGTGCTGTGAAATTAAGTGCTGAGCATCTTTCCCATCCCATTCACTCGGGGAAGCGCTGGGTTCCTCCCGGGTCTGGATCGGTCCCTTCGTCACCGCTGGAACTCCCATCCTGGGCGGGCGGGTGCTCTGCCTTTACATTAACCCGGCTCCTTCCCTCTGCGTGCCCGACGAGAGCCTTGGCACACTTCAGCGTATCAATACTGCAGGGAAGAAAATGCCAAAGCCTTTGCTGTAAGTTTTGTTTGAAACATGTTCTCCGGGTGGCAAAATCGTTCCCGTCAGAGCTGGTCCCTCGCTCGGGCGCGGTGGTTTGAGGCCGAAGAAGCTGTTTTGGGTTTGAGCGTGTTTCAGAGCACCAGGAGGCTCTGCTTTCCGTTGGCGCTGGGTGTTGTGCTCAGGGTGCAGAGACCTTCAGCAGCTGCAGTGGCGGCTTTTAGCTCTTGGTGACACAACTGGTGTCACAGCCTTGATTTCTGCAGTCATCCCTGGGAAACGGCACTCGCTACTGCACGGCTTTGTAGGCATTTGGAGGGAGGAGGTACTGTGCTCGTGTGTGCAGCTTTCTGATTTTTCAGTGGCATTGCAGGCTGGGGAAAAAAGGGACAGTCGAGTATTTTCAGAAAAAGAACTAAACTTGTCTGTAGTCACCACTCCCAGTGCGACCATCTGAATAGCTGAAATTGCTGTTAATTGGGCCGGGGCTGTTGCGAGGAGAGGCTCCGCAGCAGGGCAGGAGTACAGCCAGGGCTGGTTCCCCGTGTCCGGGGTTTTGCCCATTGGGACGCCAGAGCGGACGAGACCGCACCGGCACAGCTGGACCCCGCGCGGCAATGCCGGTGCGGGCTGCCAGTGCGCCAACACCAACCTTCACCAGCCAAGGTCACCCAGCAGTGCCACCGTTTCTGGACGGGGCTGTGGTCTTTTCCTTCAAAAGCAATGCTCATGCACATCTTATTATGGAATTACAGTACTTACCCTTCCCATCTTTAAAAAATATCCCTAGGAACATATGACCGAGCTTGGAAGTGAAGTAAAATGACTTTGGTCAGAGAGGGCTGGTTCTCTGAGCCCTTCTTTGGCCGTGGGACACGTCGCTTTGTCCTCTGAGCTGGTGAAGAACAGGCGGTATGGAAAGGGTCAAATTCGGCTGCCTTTGGCTTTGCTGCAAATATATATATAAAGAGATATTTAATTCTTAGAGAACGAAGAAGCTAATATTCAAGCAGGGCTTCAGGAAGAAAGGGTTTCCAAGATGTTACAGATTTTGGAAATATTTGACAATGTTAGCAACATCAACTACTGACAAAAAACCCTCTCTCCAGAAAATCTTTCACAGTTGTGCCAAGAAAAGCAGCTTCGATGGAACATTTTCATAAACTATCATCAGTTATGCAGCAGCAGCTTCACAAATCAGAAATGATATCTTCAGGCACTGCTGTCAAGTGTTATTCAAATAATACCAGCCTCACATTTGAATAACAGCAGACATTTTGAATTAATTAATCAGATGAGATAGTCTAGGCCTTTTCTCATTAGTCTCTGGGTCAGGCATGGGAAGATATATGCGTTGGTGATGATATACTTGTCTTTAATCGTGATTTATGAAGATTTAGGATTGTGTGTGATTTGTCAAAGGTTCTGGGAAAAGGCTGGTGCATATTTCATTACCTAATCTGAGATTGATTTCGTGATGCTGAGAGATATAACCCTATTGTTCGGGTATGTGGGAAGCGCAGGTAGACACGGCATCCCAGGGTTTTACTGGCTTATCTTCGCGACTGTCAAACAATGCTGTAAACTTTTACTGCCAGCAGTTAACAATTCCTGCTTTAATTATAGGCAAATTCTTCATTCTGTCCAAAGGGGAAGCTTCAGTAGTTATTTAGTTAAAAAGCATAACAGACCTTATAACTATGACCCAGTGTAAATCATGGACAAAGTTGGCAAATTTCATGGCTTGGTCATGGTGAAAATATAAAATTTCATGGTTTGTCACAGATTAATAGAAAAATCCTATTAAAACTGTGCAAATAACAGAACAACAAGTTAGGTGGAGATCCTTACATGGCACCTTCCTACTCACAGGATTTATTTTAGGTTGAAATCGCTACTAACGACACAGGGCCCCCTCTGCATGCTTTTCTTTGCTGCACTGTTTTCTGTTCAGTTTAATTAGTATTTGTTGTTTCGTTTGGACTGAATAATTATCCTGCAATTGTTTTGAAGCTTTATTTACATAAGAAAGCATGTGTTACATTGCTTCTGCAGTGAAAGGAGCCTTGGAAAGGAAATATTTGAATACAAATTGTGTATTTTTTTTTTAAATCATACAAATTGCTATATCTAATAATTCATCAGTAATCGGGACCTTCTGTATTGGAACAAGGTCTGGCAGCGCAGCGCGTTCCTGAAGAAGAGCCCCTCGCTGCCCCGTGTGCCACCGGGAAGCGGCTGCTCGGACGGGAGCCGTGCTGGGTCCCGCACCGCTGCGGCCAGTCCCTGCCCACGTCTTCTACATCAGCAGAGCGTGGAGAAGCCTCCAATTTCCTGCAGATTGCTAATCACCCACATCCTCACTTTTAAGCAAAAACTTACTTCATGTCTTTTACTGTTCTTGGTACAATTTTGCAGCCCATCTATCACAGCCATGCGGCTCCGGCGCTGCTCCGTGTCCACGCGGGACACAGCAGCGGCCGTTACACCTCCTGTTCTGCCTCCTGCGCTGAGCGAAGCTGTGTAGGGCAGCTCTCATATACGGGGTTCATACCATTTTCTTTTTTACTAATTTGATTGTATCCAGAATTTTGATCAGTGATACAGGAATTTGGGTCTAGGCCAAGGTACTCCAAACATACTGAGCTCCTCCAACTGATCCTCTTCCAGAGGGAGCAGTTTGTGGCTGAAGTGGCTGATTTAGAAGAAAATGGCATTTGTTCTACATTGGAATAAAGATAAAAAAGAATCAAAGTATCAGAATAAGGACTTTTAAGACGTTAAAATAGTCATCGCTAATAGCAGTCAGTAAATGCTTTGTATCTTAAATAGCCCAGAATTTCACACATGAAACTTATGGAAAAAAAATGAGTTTGTGCTATTTTCATATGAGACTTTTCTTTGCAAATAGAAGGTCTAGAAATAAGTTTTTAGGGGAAGGATGCAATGGTTCAAATAATCACAATTCTGAAACCTCCGCCTTTATGGGAGACAAAATTTTGAGTCTTGGTTAAAAGGAAAAATGCCGCAACATGAGAAATAAGTTCATGAATCCTATTAAAGAAAAATACATCAATGACTATTGTTTATAACAAGTTTCGCAATTAGCTGTTGTCAGGTCATCAGCATCAAGAACTTCATCTGCACTCTAACCAACTACCATGTACAGGTAGTAATTAAAAGAACGGCTAATGACAGTGTAGATAATAAATTTTCTTTTTTTGCCCACCACAGATGATAGTCATAAAATATAGAAGGAAAGGAAAAAAAAAAGGGTTTGGATTATTGATTAGTGTTTTGCTAATAAGAAATTAAATTTATCGACCACTGCCATTACATAGCTTTGCTTTCCCAGGAGCTGGTTTGCAGCTCTAGGCGGCTTCGGCAGCTCGCCGGGGCTGGACACGTGCTGTCAGATGCACGCCTCTGGAGAAGGATGCTTAACCCTATTAGTCAGGTCATTTCTCTCTTTTTGTGGAGAGGTCAACAAAAGAGAACTGTTTTCTTAAGTCAACTTTCATAGCTTTCATTTTAAAAATAAAAAAATTGCACCAACTTCTAACCATACTATCATGCAGGTATATTGTGTTTGAAGATGGGAACCTCTGTCAGTGCCATGGTGTTCTGGTGATCAATATTATGCATAAACGCCTATAAATATTTTTGTTAATAGAAGTTACATAGACACAACTGAGATCCCAGATTCCTCAGGATATACCAACATGCAGACTTCCAATGGCGCTGTGCTGCACCTGAAGGCAGCGTGTCTTATTGCCTCGAGTTTGGGCTGTATTTTGCTTTTGAAGCATAAATACACATTATACTTTGTACCTGGATGCAAAAGATTAGCGCTATTATTTAGAAACAAAAGAGGAGGCAGGGAGTGCGTTCCATGGAGAAAACATTAATTTCCAAGAGTTTTGGATAAGAGGATCTCCTTTTTGAAGAAAGTGTGTGTGGACCTCCCGTGGTGCCCAGAGCGACACACCAGCGCATCAGTCTTGAGGGGACGGTTGGGCTTAGTTTGGTGGTGTCAGCAAAACTCTAGTTCTTGTCTCAAATCATGAGGCCATCCAATATATTTAACCTTCACATTTAGGTCAGCTTTTGTAGTACGAAATGGCTCCTGGGGCTCTGCACCCCAGTAGTCCAGCAGCTCACCACACACACGTGTGCCTGGCTCCGCGAGTGCCCGACCCCGGGGGTGTGTTGGCGCGAGGTGGGTGCAGACTGAGGGCCCCACCAGTGGGGAGATGGTCTGCACCCCCTCGGCCCCAGCTGGGAAAGGTGACCCTCGTGCTTTGGCTCCCACAGGGGCAGCTCGGGGAGGGACCCCGCACCCTGGGGGGGAGGAAGGGCGTCCATGGAGGTGAACATCCCCGAGCAGGAGCACCGGGAGCGGCAAGGTGATGGTGTCTCACCCCACTCTTCTGCCCCAACTAGCGAAGGCTCCGGCCCTGCCCGCGCGCTGGGGGCATCCCCTGCCGCCAGCACAACCTGCTGCTCTCCGCTCCGCGCTGCCCCGGCCAACAGGCAGTGTTTCGCACCAACAGCGAGACCGGAGTGGATCTGGTGTACTGCGTCCAGACCAGGGCACAGCGCAGGGACGCTTGCTCGGGGCTGATGTAGGAAATTCCGTGAGTTTTCCAGCGTTGCCAGTCAGTGCAAAGCTTTTCATGTGTAGGAATTAGTAAATACCGAGTCTGTGGTTTTGTATGGCCTTTGGGAAGATGATAGCTGGTTTTCTGCATGACTGTTAGCTCTGTTCACAGTACTTTTCTACACTTAAGAGTGCAGAGTGCAGTGCAGTTTCAATACAAACATATACTTCTGTATATTAAGCATGTGCATTAATATATTATTATTACTCGGACTAATAACAAATAGTAGTCAGTCAGTGAGATAAAAAAGGACAGAGTTCAATAGTAATTCTCAGACAGCTTAGCAATTACCCAGACAGCTTGCAGTCAGAAAAGCTGTTCAAATCTAGGATTATGAACTACACTGATGGCAGCTCTACTGGGTGGAGTTTCACAAGACTGTGAGTATGTTTGCAAGTAATTGCAAGACCCGTTTCCAGCACTCCTCCTGATGAACTTCTCTTTTACAAGCCAGAATCAACAACCGTAAAAAAACCCTCCAAAAGCCAGTAGGCTGGTTTCCAGAAGCAGTCAAAATTATTTTTAAGTGTTTATTTTCTGTATCAGAAAGATGTTGGTGCTTGCAAGCATCCTTGAGATTTTTCATCCTTCCTCCTTAATGACGTAAATCCCAAACGCCTTTCATTTCCGTGACAATAGTCAACATCAAACAACATGCTCGGCAACACAGATTTTGTGGCTTTGCTTCTAAAATCAGTGTGTCTCCTTCCTTTACGAGTGAAGGTGGCTTCTTCCCTCATTACTTCGTCTGGTTTCATTGATTCCTGCTCGTATTCTCCATACCTGGCACTCTGCTCCCGACGGCGCTGCAGGTGCGACCTGCCCCGCGCCAGCGGAAGGCCAAGCGAGCGCTTAAGTCCCTTCTAAGCCTCAAGGCATAATCTCAAAACTTCTTTAGGAGCGGGGTCAGCACGGCTGAGCAGCTCAGCACGCTCCCGACGCGGGGGTCCCCAGCCCCAGAGTGGGGTGCGCAGCGGAGCCGGGGCGCGGGGGGCGTCTACCACTTGTGCTCCGCGGCACCAGCCTTGGAGAGGAGAGAGTTCAGATACAAACTTTGTTTTTGAAGCGCTTGAATGAAAAAGGGGTGTTGTTGGATTTTGAGCTTTTTTTTAGGGCAGTACATGATTTTTTTATGGGGCACATTAAATTCTGTACCTCCAGCGAGCGTTAAAGCCACCTTATCACTCGGCACCGGAGGGGAGCGCAAGCTCTGAAGCAGGAGAGGCAGCTGTTAAGAGATTTCCATCTCAGCAGCCTCTCATGCCAATAGGATTGTGATTTGGGAATATAACAAGGCTTTGGGGGCTAAAGTTAATAAATAACCACTGTATTCCCTTTACCGTTTTATTCTCTATGCCTGGCCCCAGTGCCTTCTAAGCCCAAGCAATTATCAGTCCCTGGGCTGATGTATTTGACATAAGCCCATATATTCTTTAAGCAAGAAGCCTTCACCACAAATTTTGCTTCAAAAAGACTGTTGAAAGAAAAAAAGGTCATTTGGGTGGTTGAGTATCTGTACTCGGATGCTGCCAATAAGTGCTGTATTTGCAGTCGCTGGGTTTTCTGTCCCCTCGGTCGGGGGGAGCCGAGTACATGGTATGTATTTTAGGTCACGTTCTTCCTGCTGGTGGAGACAATGCATCTTCTGTCTGCGAGGCTGACCCTTTTCACATCCAGAATATTTGTTGTAGGGGTGTGGCTGACAGAGCATCTTGGGAATTGATTCAAATTCTTTAGTTACAATCATGGTTAAAAGATCAAGTCATTTTCAGTCATTCTTGTCGTACCCAGTCCTGACTAATATCACAGAGACTGTGCTTTTTGCAGCAAATACATTCTCGCTCTACCTCAGAAGGAAGGTTGGCAGACACATGTTTTTATAAATAACCTTAAAAGCACAGCTCAATAATGTGAAGTTTGTAGCTGATAAGAAAGCTATGGGCGACACGGAGCACAGTCCACAAATTTCTGAACACCGTCCAGCAGTCTCAGGTGAACATTTAATCCAAGATTACCTACAGGAATCCAGGGAACGGCCCGTGGTCCCCGTGTCGCCGCTGTGGGGCTGCCTGTCTTCCCGAGCGACACTGTATTATCAGCTCCACTTGGAGTGTCCATTGGTTTATGAAAATGGTGGGTAAATTACTTTATTATGTATTGGCATCAAAACAGACTTCTTCCTCCAAGAAGAGGGACTGGGACTTAGAAGGTGTAATGCACCCTCCAACCAAAAGAAGTAGCTTAGTGTCACCTCAATTAATTCACGTTTTCATTGCAGTTCTTGCGTTTAAGCCTCTCTTTAGCTTCCATTAAAATTTTTCTGTCCTCATCCCATTCTGTAGGTACACAAGATGGAGTTTAACTATGATGCCACAGTAACTATAACGCAATTCAGAAGTTTTAATGGTTTAAATCTTCAAACTTGCATAATAAAGTCAATGGGAGCCTATCAAAAGTGTATATATTACTATTTTTTTTGTGGCTTTTTAAAATTTAGCTTTAAATTTGCAAAACAGTAGCCTAAAACTATTTCAGAACAGTACAGTGTTCTTGCCGATGAGCAGATACCTTCATGGGCATCCCATCATGTCACTAACGTTACGTCCAGTTGTGCTCCAACATAATACCGAAAGCTCTTCCAGAAATCAAACACTTCATGGGTCACAACGCTCCGAAATAATGCAGCACTAAACATAAACATGGCAGTGCTGTTCCCAAGACACCAAGGAGTGTGAATGTTGACTAATTTTCAAATGCAAATACATACGGGTTTTGTTGAGGCTGATGTGTATTAACACAGTGCTGCGTTAGTTGTTGCTTCATGCGTTCAGAGAGGAGCGGTTCCCGTGGCAGAACACGCAGACGGCGGGGATGAGGGTGGGGGCTCTGGCGTGTTTTCGTCAGTCTTTGACTTTGTATTTTTTTGCACTTTCTCAGAGGTTTTGATCACAGGTGCTCCAAAGCCCAGGAATACCAAAGAGGGGTGGGGTATTTTTTCTTTCAGTTTTTTTTTTTTTTTTTTTGTTCTAGTTCCATTTTTTTTTCCCCCAGGTAGATTGTTTGATAAAGAACATTCTTTTGTTGTCTGTGCTTCAGTTCTGCTCATCCCACTAATCTGAAATATTGTAATTACGTCTCCCTGTCTCCTGCTGCTTCCTTCCTTTTGCTCTGAAGGAAAGAATCCGCCGTTCCCTCAGCTGTGCCGGTGCTGTTTGTGGTGAGGACTGGAGCAGGGTGGTGCCATGGGGAGACGTACCTGAAAGATTTGAGTTATCATAGAGGAGGCAAAGGGATGTGAGTCTCTGCAAGCTCTCACATTCTTTCCTAAACCGGAGTACTCTGCCAGAAGAAGGGGCAGGTTTAGGCTCAAGGTTCCCACCCCGTCTGTTCACGCTCCCAGTGTACTGCCCGGGTTTAGAAGGTCGGTTGCAGAGCGTTTTGTGTGACTGGGGGACGAGGAGCATCTCCCTGTGGAACCCCCCAGCTTTTGGCACAGAAGATGGAGAACGTGCGCCGTGACAGCTGCTGTAGTTAGAGTAATTGTGTGACACCTGAACAGACACTGTCCTCTCTGGGCAGAAGTGAGCACCAGGACCAGCACCTGAACGTGGTCTGCTCCAGAATATGCATGACTGGTACGAGACAAAGTTTGCTGTGTCCCTGTGAGCTCGCTTTTCTGAACCTTTGTATGCTGCTGAAGGAGCATCTTTCTTAAAATAACGTACCAAAATACTAATGTGCGTTTGGGATGAATTCTTAATCTTCCTTCTTAGCCACAAAGTGGTGGACTCAGCAGAGAAAGAAGAAAGGGAAGGGAAGGGCTGATGTGTCCTAAGGCTGCTTCCCCTCCACAAGGGCCAGACACCTGATTTACACCGCTGCTCTAACTGAAAAGGTGACTTTTTGCAAAGCGGTGCTTGGCTGTGGGACCTGTTCTTTCCCAACCTGTGTTGCCACCTGAGTCCGTGGACAACTGTGTTCTCGCTCCCTATGGGGCAGCTCTTACAGAGCTGGAGTTTCTGAGAGCAGTGGGAAGGGAGCAGGTTCTGGTGGTGGTGTGTGGTTGATAGTTGGATTTGCACTGTGCTTTAGTACACGCGCATTATTTCAGTTACACATTACAGTGACAAAATATCCCCTCCAGAGGGACAGCAGAAATACGTGTTAACGCTGCAGCCACATACTATGCTTAACACTGCAGAATTGATTAGTGCAGCACTGACATTTTGTTATCCTGAGAGGCAGAAGCTGGAAGTGTTCTTGAAAGTGCAACCTCCAACGCCAGGCGGGTGACACAGGTAGGGGCACCTCTGCCCTCCGCACGCCGGACTCTGGGCCGGTACGGCCTCGGCTGCCGGGAGCCCTGCCTGCCAGCCGCGGCCAGCCCCGCGTGGGTAGGAGAGCCCACCGGCACCAACACTGGCTCATCCTCCCCAGTCCGTATGCAAGCAGCGTCTCCCTGGGCGGATTTCACTGTCCTTCCCGAGTCCCTGCCACGTTGCACCCGTGCGACGCGAGGAGCGGGGCTGGTGTGGCTGAGCGCGTGGTGGCGCAGCCGTTGCCTCGGCACTGTGTGGGGCAGGTGCAGCCACCGCACCGGGAGCGGAGACCCTGCCGGCTCCCCGTCCCCACCACCCGCTGAGCCGAGTCACGGCAGCAGCTTTGTTCCGTCTCGTGTCGGTGCGTGTGACGAGCCGCCACGACGGTGCAGTGGATCTCTCTCCACAAACTGTGCACAGGAGGGT